TGGTGGTGGTGGTCGTGGTAGGGGTGGAGGGATGTAAGAAACTTGCCACCATCGTTTCAACTGCCGTGCCGGGAAATAGAATCGAACCGGCGGCCTCTGGCTCGCGAGTCCAGTGCGCTGACCGCCACGAGCACGGGAGCATTCCTCTGGCTTTCAAGAAAGAAAGAAAAAAACGTAACCTGGCATCTAATCTACAGTATCCCCTCCCCCCCCCCAAGTAGCAGAAGCCACTCATGTCGACGTTCGGCAGTCAATATTCGCTCAAGGGATCGATTCCGTCATCCCGACGCGATCGCGGCTTCCCAGTGACCCGGCCGTGGCGCAGTGCTTGCCCTTTGATTAAAGCGCCGTGCCACAGAAGACAGCTGAACGTACGAGCCGTGCCCTATCACAGCCGCGTGTGAGTGGGGTGACGGTGGCAACCCTCAATGCCTCCAAACCAACAATGCCACCGCGGGGTGGGGGGTGGGGGGAAAAATAAGACACAGACTCAGGTCATCGCAGGTTACTCTCACATCGAGTTAGACGTAATGATTTACGGTGTCAAAGTGCTGTGAGTGATGATGGCCGTGATGACTATCATTATTGATGGTGTTTGATGATTGATGATGCGGTTTCCCACATCGCCCCTGTCGTGCGCCATGCGTGTACGCGAACGCACAAAGACGCAACCGGCGGTAAATTAGGAAAAAATAAACAAGGAAACAGATACCTTCCGTGTCTATATATGAATTTCTAACTTAAGTATCCATATTGACCCAAAGACAAAGATCCCCCACCCCATATAACCTGTAACAAACTGTTGGGGCAAGCGCTCTTAGTGAGCACCTATGAAGGCCACACGCCATACGAGGGGGTGGGTGGCCACCTTTGTCTCCCCCAGTGGTGATATTTACACACCACACCGGGTACTCATTTGAGGCTGACTCGACCTAGGGGAGGCCCATGACCGAGTTCAGATAATCGTCGCTGGTGTTGGCCGTGAGCGAGAATCGAACTCGAGTCGCAGGGTCCGTAGCGCAGCGCGCTAACCGCCTACGTCACCGCTCCCGAAAAGTCACCCAGAAAAATAACGACAAAAGACGAAGATCCTCCGCATGGACCTGAACAGACTGTTGGAGCGAGTGCTGTTTGCGAGCAGCACCTATGAAGGCCGACACTTTGGCACGCGATGGGGATGGGTGGCCTGCACCGCGCCCGGCCGACTCGCAAACACAATACGACAAATGCAGCCCTTCCCAGTTAACATGTTGGGGCAAAACGGTTTTAATCACGTGCCAACGTTTGCTCAACGTTGGCAACGTTTACCGGGTAGTACTAATCCTGGTTGTACCGTCGGGGTAAGTCTTGATAAAAAGCACCCGTCGTGGGCCAATTTGGTGTTTCCAGTCATCGGCTGCAAGTAAGAGCTGGGAAATCGGATTATTTAAGTAATCGGTGACCCTTCCAATGATCGGCGTGATTGCTCGACGAATCGGATGGCTGGGGGCGAATGATTCGGCACGATTGGCTGTGATGTGGATCGTGTAGGTACAATGTTTATTTTTAGGCTATAACCCTCCAACCACCCAACACGGACAATGAAATCAGATTGTTAATTGATTCGGTTTTTTTGGCAAATTGGAATGTTGAAAAGCAAGCAAAATGTTTTCTATGTTTAACAACCTCATTTTGTTTGGGCTTTGTCAGGTGCTGGAGGGCTATAATTAAAAATATTGACTTTATACCTCCACGATCTAACCCAAAATAAACCAATTATATATCATAACTTTGGGCATGAAAGCCTACATATCACATCACAGCAAAGTATTTTATAATAATTTGAGCGTGTTAATCTATTTAATCTACTCATTTTCACAGCTCAAGTGGAAAGCATTAGTGTAGCTGGTACCACATCCAGCCACACACACACACGCACACACATTCACACGTGCTCACACACACACAGACACAGCTGCCGTTCTGGGATTACATAACTTAAACCAACGTAGCCCAGTGCAGTCAAACCGCTGTAAAAAAAAAAACCCTCTATTTTAAAGCACATGTCTTTTCGCTTTAGGTAAATCTCTTACGCAATGCAGGGAAATTACGCCTATTCCCCAAAGCCCACTTTACCCCATATCTCCCCGCCTTCTCCCTGCTGTCTGGAAAGAGGAGTTGAGAGGAAGCGGGGGTGGTGGCGGAACGATCGTTCGATTGCACGCGGGCGCGTGACGCCAACGGTGGCGGAATGCTCACAAGGAGCGCTGCATCGCACCGCATCTGCCGTATCAATCACCCTGCTAACGGGCTGCCCTGGTGAAAACCAGTGCAGCGAGTGAACGAGCGAGCGAGCGAGTGGCAGAGCGCGGTGTGGGAAACCATACACTTTTATTTACATTTTTGGATAATAATAATATGTTAAATGAATTACGCAAAAGGCCCAAAATGCCGAGAGGCCAGCGACGAACGGCGCCGTTGAATGGGTAATAGATAAGAGTTGAGACCAGAGCTTGATTTTTCGTAGAAAGATTTTTTGTTTGTGGAGCGCAGTGCCCCCCCCCCCCCTCCCGCACTGAACTTGCGAAAGAGAAGTCGACGGGACGGAATTCCGAAGTGGATCAGCGAAGAGGAGGAAAGCTTCGCGATTAAAGGGAGAAGTGATCGCGACCCACAGCGTGGTGGTTGAACACCAGTGCGGATGCGATAGACGCAATGCGATGCAACTTGCTTGCGTACAGCGCACTTCACGCAGACCGTCCCAGGGAATTTCACGATAAAAAAAGAACTCTGACAATTATGAAAACCCATTCGCCAATCAATACGGCACGAGGGTTGTGTTTTTTTATTTGACTCAAAAGATTTGACGGTGGCAGCGTGGCTGGTGTAACTCTGGACGGAGTTTCAAAGGCAGTGGTCCGTGACGATCGGACATTTCACTTGTGAGAACCACCTGAGGTGCTATCACTTTATAGGCTCCATTGTGGTTGTATTGCCAACAAGTAAATTACCTGATAATCATTTGAAATTAGTGGGGTTATCAGGTAGTCCACACTCTTATTAGCCGTATTAATGAATCGGTGCAACTCAAGTTTTGATTCCTTTGGTGCTACTGATCGCTTCAGAAGTTGATGACACTATATTTGGAAACGTGACAATGTTGTCGGGGTGGTGGAGGGTTAATGCTCGGAATGTTGGCATAAAACTACCACCGCGTGGCCTAACCCATAAACAAATACCGATCAATGTATTGCCTGCAAAATCCCAAGTTTTAACTCAGCATTGAGTGAAACAATAATCAGATATAGTGAGCGTGCAGGTGAATGAGACAATGAGCGAGCATGTGAGTGAGAGGTCGGTTTAATGGATGGGTGAGTGATCGAGTGAGTGAGAGGGTGAGTGAATGAGTGAGTAAGCGACCGAATGAGTGAGCGCACGAGTATAGTGTGCTAACCACTGCACCACCACGCCGCACCCCGTTTGGGGCCCTACACAAGGAGACAAGATGCACATACCCCAAAGAGTCATAACAGACTTCTTGGGGAAGTCCTGTTAGCGAGCACCTATGAAGGTCACCACGGCACTCGAGGGGGTGGGTGGCCAGCACCACGTTGGGCCGCCTATGCCTCTCAAGTGGAATTGTTTTACACATGGAACCAGGTACTCATTTGAGGCTGAGTCGACCTCGGGCAGGCCCAGGCGCGGTTCTGATAATCGTCACTCGTGTTTGGCCGTGAGCGGGAATCGAGCTCGGACCGCCGGGTTAGTAGCGCAGCGTAGCGCTAACCACCCACATGAATTTAAAAGCTGGTAACACAAAAAAAAAGCATCTGCTTCACACGCACACATCCCATCGTACGTGCGTGGCAGTATCCTGGCAGGCTGGCACGAGCCAGTGGTAAGGCAGAATATTATTTCTCCTCGTACCTTCAGCAAAGCGTCTCTCTTTTTCAGAGTCATGAAGTGACAACTTTGCCAACCCCATCTGCAAAATGACTTTAGTTCGCTGTGAACGTCGTATCTGATTGAAGCAAATATTCTAACCTTTTGTTAAAATTGCATTGTGCGGAAATCCAATTTAAAAGAAAGTTTCAAATGTCACAAAGTGACGCCCGCTGACGGGTCCGTCCAGATATGAGTCGAGACAGGCGCAACAGTATGAGCGAAAAAAGTTGCGCCTGAGAGATAAACATTGCTGGGTGTTTGACAGCTCGAAGCACGGAGACATACATCAATCCCCTGTTGACGTGTCGCTTCGAAAGTTCATCGGGGAGAGAGTGGCATTAACGTAAGCAAATAAATAAATGGCACACAGTTGCAACAACTTTACTTAACTCCTGTTTCATCACCGCCCCTGGCATTGCCACCGTCCTTGATGTCATCATCATCATCATCATCTTCAGATTCCCCAGTCCTAACGTCATTGTCACTATCATCGTCATTGTCATCAACATTAAAACTGTAATATGTCTTAACATAAACACTGATCCACAGTAATGGTCACTTGTATAAGAGGCCTGACTCTGCTAGTGAGACCCAGAACGCTCAGAGCCAGTCCAGTGTTTTGCTGCCTTAAACGAACGCTTTTGGGATAATATCGGTCCAGAACACCAATAAGCTGGTGGACTGACTTATACATTCAAACGTAAATCCGGAAAACATTTGGACCAGCATGGAGGTTGTGAGTCTCGCAACGAATTTTCAAGCAACCCCGAGTTTTGTTCTACCTGCTAGGCTTTCTCTCCCTCCTTCTCCTCTATCCGGTGCCCCTCTCTCTCTCTCTTGCTCCCCGATCACAGCTGGGTATAACTACAATCATGCCTCGGATGTGCTGGTCACTTGAAGGCTGTGCACCCCCATTTTTAACGTCTCTGCTCTTGATTCAGAACAAAAAATTGGATACAGTATGTCAAAATAGAATTTTGCAAACGGTCAGATTTACATTGTTGCAATGCTGTTGATTATTGCTACTTCTGCTGCTGACGACGATGATCGTGACCGTAAGCGATGGTGTTTTGTAGGGATGTTTGACGAGTGTTCGTACGTGTCCACCGACAAGGGCTGGGCCCTCGGCCTGGCCCCATGGGACGAGTCCCACGGTGACAGCGGCGGCGGCGGCGGCGCTGTCGGCCCCTCTCGCTTCTTCTTCAGCCTCCGCACCGACCGCGCCCGCTCCTCCTCCATGGTGTTCGCCCGCACGCGCTACGAGCCCGCCGTCTGGACGCACGTGGCCGCCACGTACGACGGGCGGGCCATGTCGCTGTACGTCGACGGCGCGCGGGTGGCGCGCGGGACGGCGCAGCGGGGGCCGCTCTTCTCGCCCCGCGCCGTCGGCTGCAAGGCGCTCATCCTCGGCGGTCACGGCTCGGACCCCCTGGGCGGCTACCGCGGCCACGTGGCCGCGCCGCGCCTGTGGAGCGTCGCTCGGACGCACGGCGAGATCCGCGCCGGCGTCCCGCTCAGCCTGTGCGGGGCGGACCCGCCGGGACTGGTGATGGGCGAGAGCGCCGTGGAGCAGCTGCGCCAGCGCTGGAAGCCCGTGGCGAAGGACGGCCGCTTCCCGCGGCGGGAGGAGGCCGACGACCCCGGCGTGACCCCGAGCGACGGGCCGGTGCTCTTCGCGCCCACGTGCGGGCAGACGGTGTGCGACGACGTGGGGGTGATCGGCAGCTACAACCGGCACTGGTGGCTGCGGCGCGGCAAGGTGGTGCGCTACAGGGTGATCAACGTGCACGAGGATGACCGGTCGAATCCCACGGTGACGGAGGAGCAGATTCAGCTGCAGCACCGGGTGGGTGCGGCGTTGGCGAGGCGGTGGTGGTTGGTGGTGGTGATGCGGCGGTGATGTGGTGATTGGCGAGCGGTAGTCTGTGTTAAAACCGCCGACACCACTTTGCTAGGAGCAGAACGACAGGTTTCAAATTCAATTCTCCATCAGCTCGATGCAGCACATCATCCCTGTAAGGTGGTTTAAGTAAAGTTCCGTGGGAATGTCAACAGTGGTTGTTCTGCGGAATTGACTCACCCCTGTCACAGAGTTTCCACCGCTGGCTCAGGTCTGTAAACAACTCAGGAGCATAGCACGTTGACTTTTTCATCATTTAAAATTGTACCCTTGAGCCTCGTGGCGGTAAACTTAGATTTAAAAAAGATGTTACCTTCGTTTTGTCATGCAGCAACAGCGCCCGAATAACTTCCCATGTGCCAATGTCATTTCGGCCACGCTAATTTGCGCGGCCATTTCACAATCAAGCGGCGCACCTTCGACTTTACAAAGGACACAACCGACCCGTATTAACGATGCGACGTTGCGCCATCAGGGGCCACAACGTTACATGTCGCAATGGTTGACATTGCAGGTCGGTCGCGTGCGTTGGAAAGAAACAAAAATAAACGGATTAAGCTCCCTACCTCACCCCGTAGACTATTACTGGGACGGCATTAGCCCTGCGATTGCGGCATCGCTTAATGTCAAGGGTCACCGCGTGCCACTCGGGTCTTATAAACAAGATATAATCAGTGTTTTATTCTGGGATAAATCTCTCTCTCTCTCTCGACTGAAACCATAGCTTGTTGATAACAGATTATGCTCGTTTGTTTGTGTTGACAGATACACAGTGGCTTCCCAATAAGTATTCCAGAGCATGCTAATTAGGAAGCTACTTGGAGCTATGCACTTTTAAATCTAGATTGAAAACTCATTCCTTTAAAATCGCGTTTGATGTTTAGTTTGTTGTCCTTCCCCGCACTTCGGATTAGCACGGTTGGCTACGTAGGGTGCAAAAGAAGTTCAACACACATACACAAAGGGGGTTTATAACGTTTATTCCCACCGCATGCATCATTGCATCACCACGGAATAGAGTTAACTTCTCCACAATCTGTGCTGCTCCATCAGAATAAACATTGAGACCTCGAAAAAATAGATCGAATCGAAAGCTTTGTGAATGCCCGACTGTCCTTTCTTCATTGTCATATCTTATCATTAAGTTGCTACCTAATCTGCATGGGTTTAAACTCGAACTTCTTTCGCACCGTACGTAGCTAATCGTGGAGTGCAAAGTCGAACATCGTGCCGAGCAACGCAGAGCGGTGACAACCCGAAAACACATCGGAGAGCCGTACAGCACAACCAAGAAAGAACCCGTGCAGTTGTACATAAACTCGTTGGAATTTAAAACCAAGTCAAATCACACGTGGCTGAAATCCAGATTCAAATGTGAAATCTCAGCAACGCCAACTCAGTGGTTTTGACCTGGTATCCGACTCCCAAGCCACCCAGCCACCTCTTGTTGCCTCCGTTATCCTCTCCTGCGGTACATCTAATGAAGTGTGTCGAGCTATCCTTGTCGCCTTCCTTGCTTCATTTGGCCACGCAAACGTTTGTTTTTCATAATAAAGATTTTTTTGGGTTAGATCGCGTTATTTATAAATGTGTCGTAACCCTCCACCACCCGACACGGCCAAACAGTAAAAAAGTGCCACGTTTACAAATGACAAATAGTTCACTACTTTATCCCACCGGTGTGTTGAAGAGTGAATCAACATCGGGCAGTTTGCCCGATGAAGCTGGATGTAATTACCAGCGAAACGTCATACTCAAATTGAAATTATGTTGATTCACTCTTCAACACACCAGTGGGATAAAGTAGTGAACTATTTGTCCTTTGTAAACGTGACACTTTTTTTACTGTTTTGCCGTGTCGGGTGGTGGAGGGTCACGACACATTTATAAATAACGCGATCTAACCCAAAAACCTTTATTATGAATAATATTGGTCGCAAAAGCCTAACGTGTTCAAATATCGACATTGCCTACGTTCTCTACTCGTCATGTTTGGCAATGAAGAGGCGAGGCCCATTTCATTCCTTGCACCAGAGTCGATGCCAACCGTGCCATGCCAAGCCCACGGAGACCCACTCCGTTAGTAGTGTGCCCCAGGAGGTGGTGCAAACCGGCCCAGGGACTGCTTATTCATACAGATTTTTCCCTCGAATGTGTTGGTCTGGATAGCAGATACGTCCCGTAGATTCAGAACAGTGGACTTGTTTTATGTGTATGTGGAGGCACGGTCGGGAGTTACGTTTTGATCTTGATCTGAAATCCGTTATTCATCATCTACGGACAAACAATCCATGAATTCCACCCCAAATCTCATGGCACACCTCCCGCACCCCCCCCCCCCCCCCCCCCCCACCCACCCTCCACCCCCACGCACCGCCGCAGGAGCTGAACGCCGCGTTCCAGCCCTACAACATCACCTGGGAGCTGACGGTCAAGGACGTGGCGGACTCGTGGCTGCGGCGGCGGGTCGTGCTGGCGAACTGCGAGGCGAGCAAGATCGGCAACGGGGCGTGCGAGGTCGAGTGCAACCACACGCTCACGGGCTACGACGGCGGCGAGTGCCTGACGCAGCGGCCGCCCGCCTGCCACTGGGGCGCCTCCAACGGGCGCTGCAACCCCGAGTGCAACAACGAAAATTACCGCTACGACAACGGCGACTGCTGCGACCCGGCCGTCACCGACGTCGCGCGGACGTGCTTCGACCCCGACTCGCCGCACAGGTGCATTGTGGGGTTTTTTTTTCTTCTTCTTTTTTTTCGCGCTCGTTTACTGGGTTGGTTTCCGAAATTTCAGTCTGTGGGTGTCTCATGTGAGTCGGCGGGTCCCGTTGAAACCCGGTTTAATTACAGGCGGCTGGCTGGACGCCTGCGTTCAAAGTCAGCACCTCGGCGGGGTGCTAGTTCACCCCTCTGACCTTTGAGCCACCCGCGCGCATATTTGTTTTGTGTGTGCCTGCCCATCCTGTGAATCGTCTAAGAAAAAAAACTATATTTATTTGACCGGGTAAGGCCCGCTGAGCAAAGAGCTCTTTTTCAGGAGTGATCTGGCCACAAATGATCGCTCAACCAAGTGGCTTATCACGCGGAAATGTATTGCAGTTGATTACCTTGAGCCATTGGTCCAAATATGGCCTGTTGGTACCACAGCAGGTGGCAAAAGTTTTTGCTAAATGTATGATAACAAGTTCCCCGCAGTAGCTTCGTATGAAAGAAATGTTCAAGAAGGGTACCATAGTATGTTTGATGAAGAATATAATTTAGAAAAGAATAAAAAAAACTCGTAACATATAATGAAACATCCATGGAATATGGAAACTAAATATGAAGCTTGTTTATAAAACCAAAAGAAAATTTATTTTCTAAGCTTTCTGCCCGTTGTGGACACTGCCACGGTTTTCTATGTTCGGTGCGAAAAAAGTCCAACAAACGTACAACACACATACGTACTTTCCCTTGATAAACACTACCCGACGGTGGACGCTGCCAATTGGTGGACACTCCCCAGGTCAGACGCTGCCCGCGGTGGCTACCGGTCGTAACTTACCATCCCGGTTGGTACTGCCAAAAAACGCCCTTGTCTCGCCGGTTCATGGGAGCCGTGACCTCGTAGGACTCGCTGACCCCGTGGCACTGCGCTGGGCGAGGCTTCGTCACGGTGGGCCGGCCAGCCACGCAACTGGGACGCGAACCCTCCCTGGCCGTGTCACCTGCGCTCGTTGTCGGCGGGGGCCCTGCGACGGAATGTAATCGATCGGGTTGCATTTTCATCGGCGCGATGACCGTATCCCATATATATATTATTGCTAAACAATTAGTTTATATTACCAAGTAAAGCCTACTGAGCTATGTAGCTCTTTTTCAGAGGCGACCTGGCCACACGTGATAGCTCAACGAAGCGGCCTATCATCACGTGGGAAATTACGGCAGACAAATAGCATGGACGCGAGTTCACCCGAAATGTGGAGGGAAAAAACTGGAGGACCCGGAGCAAAAATCCACGCGACCACGGGAAAACTGCAAATATACAGCGGTCAGTGTCAGGATCGAACCCATTCAATCCTGTATACCAGGCGAAGCAGATCAAATATCGCCACTGCAGCACCCATATATACTCTTTGGTTCTTTCGGTAAAGTCACGTAGGTATAAAATAAATCACGACGTTTCGGGCGCAACACAAGCGTCCGTCATCCGGTGGGAAAGCGTGGTCTGCTGCTGAGGCAGACTGTTTTAAAAGGTTTGAATTGGGTGTAGCTCAAGGGTTAGCTCAAGGGTTACCGAAAGAACCAACGAGTATGGATTCCTGCAGTCACGAAAGTTTCAAATCAAGATTGAACCACCCATATATATTAAGCACGCCATCACAACTGACCTTACTTTTGTTATACTGCAGGGTTTTCTTTTTAAAATTAAAGTTGTCCCCCCCACCGCACTCCTTTTACTTTTCTTCCTCCTCCCTTTGCCTTACCTTCCCAATATATATTTAAAAAAATCCCCTCTAGGTTCCCACTGCTCAAAGTCCCTACATGAGGCGGGGCAGTGAGCCCAACCTCATGCCCTTTACAGAGCCCAGGAGCACCGAGTGAGGACTTCGGTTGTCCACGGAATTTCTGAACCCCCCCCCCCCCTCCCTTATTATGACTGTTCGTGCCTTTTACCGGGCTCTTGTCATTTTTTTTTTAAAAAGGCAAAGGTGCAACCCTGCAATTGCTTGTTCACACCTCTCTCTGAGAGCCCAATCCCCCCATCCCGCCCCCACTCGAAAGGGAATTATCCCACTAGTCCATACTGGCTGGATGTCGTGCAAGAGCTGGTTGTACCCACACTTTACCCCCCCCCCACCCACTCCCCCACGCGTACATTAATTGGCGTGGTGAAGTATGGTCAAACAACAGTTCCCCCCCCTCCCCACTGCGCCTATAACCAATACATCACGTGCATGAGGCTATGAGGGCAAAGGGGCATCACCGCAATGCCTTGCTGACGCCACCGCTGACGCAAAGGGCCTCCACTAGAGGAAGCTGTGGTGAGCCCCTCGACAGGGTATTGGACCTCCTCTTCTTTGACGATGTTGGCGGCCTGGCGTCTCGGGAGGAGGTGGTGAGAAAGCTCGCGCGCCCAAAGTGGATTGACAAAATCGCGAACGAGTTTCCGTCATCCCAGTGAGCGACGAAACCAAAAAAAAAACCGAAACGCAGACATCACGGCAGCTGCGACCATGCACGGCACACGCGCGGGCGGTGTTCTGCGCCCGCGACTGAACGCCTGCTTTGCTTTCGGAACTAGGCTCAGGATCCGCGGTGAGTGTTCCTGTAACCTGGCAGCCGCCGCGTCGCAAAAAGGGTGCTCATTTAGCACATCGCGCGTAATTAGTCGACTCGCGGCCACTACTTTTTGAACTTGGCCTCAGCTCTCAAACGTTAATCCACCGTCATCCCCATCCCCCCGGACGAAAGGAGGCATTTACTCAATGATGCCACTCACTTATATTCTTGGCTCTTTCGGTAAAGTCATGTAGAAGGGAAACAATAAAATAATACAAATATATATAAAAAAATATTGTTTCCCTTCTACGTGACTTTACCAAAAGATCCAAGAATATGAATCCCTGCAGTCACGAAAGCTTTAAATCAAAATTTGATGCCACTCACTGTTATTGTGATGGGTCGGCCGTAGCTGTTGGCCAAAGAAGTTTTCCGAAGGTGCGCGGTCTCTGTACGGACTTCAATACAAGCTCGATCAACGTCTCGGCACGTGTGTCCGAGCTGCCATAACAATAAACAAAGTTCAGGGTCAATTGAGTTTCTAAAATACAATAAAGAGTTACTTGAATTACAAAGAAAAACGACAACCGGCACGTTTTTCTTGTTATCCGTGTGTGTGTGCGTGTACCGCGTGTTTCTGGAGTCACAATATTATCTGTGAGCGAGCGATCCGGTTGTCCTGCTTCAACCGTATATCGTGACCTTGTTTTAAAAGGCGAGGGGCAAATAAATATCGTCTGCTTAGTATTTGAGGTTATTATGGATAGGCATACCTTTGTTCTCTTGTGGTAGTACCTTGCCAGCTTCGCAGCGTTCCGAATGAGAAATTCAGCCCTGCTTAGAGATATTCCCAACATCCATCTCAGCATTCTCATCTTTGTCCTTTCAGGCGCTCCTTTTTCTCTCCTCTTCCTTCCCGAGCGCCCGCATCGCCGCTGCTTCCCCTTTTGTGTATCTGTCTCACCGCGCAATGAAATGAAAGTTGACCTTTTCGCAACCCATTGGCCCCCACGGTTTTCTCGGAGTGCATAGCTTCAGCGGCATTGATTCAATGTGAGAAAACTCTGGACCGGTTTCAACATACGGTGTGTCTCATCGGCAGAGTCAGGCTTGCTTGAATAAACGTTGGGGGGGGGGGGGGGGGGAACTGCCAGATGTTATAGGCAAGGACTGAGATATGGGTTTTGAGTTCGACGCGATAGAATTTTATACATAACACAAAGTAAGCATGAGCTGCATTGATTCACGGGCACCGGTGGGGGTCCCCGTCCGGATAAGCGCGAGACGGTAGATCGTTGCTCGGGGGGGGGGGGGGGGGGTTGGCGGTGAAGTCTCTCGGAGGGCTGAAATAGTGTCGGCCAACGGAAGGGAGGACGCGTCGCTCCGTGCCCCCCGCGCGTTGCTTAAGATCGCCGCTGCGCCCTATTAATCCCAGACAGCGCGCGGCATCGACGTCTCCCCCGGCGCCCCTTAAGCACCGGGTGCGACGAGACCACGAGGCAGCAAGGGGTGGAGAATGGGACGCATGATGAAAGATGCGAACGCACGATGTTTGATATCACAGGCTCTGTAATTACTTTACTTTACAATGTGATGTGTTTAACCTCCCCAGACTACTATTTAGGGGAAGGCGATTAGACCGTTTGCCACACTGCAGATGCGGGGTTGAGGTTGCGTCATTTGTGCTGTATGTTTTTTTTCGTTCATTTGAGTAATGCGCTATTTTAACTCACGAGACACGTCTAATGTCTATACTTTTTTTTAGTGTTCAAAAATAAAATTACATGCCGCCTGCGATGTGAACGAGTACATTTTTCTGCTTTACAATTTTTCCAAATTGCTTCTTGCATTTTTCCAGCTCGTAAAAAAAAATTTACATTGACAACTAGCACACTGAGCATTATGTTGGGCGTTAAAATAAATTAGCAGGCCGATGACTTGATACGAGCGGACTCGTGAACGTAACATTTGTTAACGAATTTTTTTATTTGGGTTTATTTACGCGGTTTGCCGCGAAACGACATTGAACGTATTTGTCCGACGTGTTAAAATTAGACGTTTTATTGCCACGCTGCTCAGAATTAAACCAAATCAAGTTTGCCGGCGACCGAGGTAAATTGGTTGTTTGATTTAACGGTGCAGGAAAATTAAATATCAAGATTTAATTTAAATGCTTGCCACCCCTAATGATGGATCATAGAACACGGCACCGCTGTCTGTAATGAGAGCAGAAATCCACCTTCACGAATATTTATCACCGTCTAACGAAAGCCATGCAAGGAGGATTTGCAGGATGCGTCCGTTAGGCGTGTATTTTCTTCTATTATTAGATGATAAACCAATTGGCAATGAGTAAAAGGAAGAAACGAAATCCCTTACATATTCGTCAATAACGCGGCCTTAAATGGAAATATATATGTGTAATATCTGACGGTTTGGGAAATATCCCTTCTTCTTGCGTGTGCCACGAGAAAGGGCCATTGTTTGGAATATTGCCAATACATGTTATTGGTAAATGTGTTTAGTTTTGTTTTTATTCCTGCCTGGGTGCAACTGGCAAAGCAGCAGCAGCATCGCCAAGTGATTCGCCATTAAGCAATCTTAACCTGAATTTTGATTTAAAGCTTTCGTGACTGCAGGGATTAATATTCTTGGTTATTTCGGTAAAGTCACGTAGAAGGGAAACAATAAAATAATAAAAAATGTAAAAAAATAAAATTCTCACGACGTTTCGACTGCAACACAAGCAATCATCATCAGGTGTGAAAACCACAGCAAGAAAATTTGAAAAAAGTGGCGTTTTTTTTACGTTAGCACCACGGAGAGCGATTTGGCAGTTATTCAGATGGACGAGTCCATCTATGTCCGGAAAAGAGGCGGGAGACGAAAATAATGGATGCGGTCTGAAAGCCATCGTAAGCGTGAACAATCAATTAAGACCCGAAATGGTTTATCAAATCCTTCCAATGATTGCTAAGCCAGAATCCATCTTCTCGGTTGAAATTGTCTCTGTGTTTGTATATGTGGATAGCCTCATGAATGAATCTCTCATGGTAGCCAGATGGCTTGCAGAGAACCTCTGTCTTGGAGAAGTCAATGTCATGTGACCCTACTGAATTACAACAGTGATCTGCCACGGCCGAGGTGTTGGTCCTACCGTGTTTTAGGTCTGCTTTGTGTTCACGAATGTGGTCCGAGACATGTCGTTTGGTTTCTCCAATGTAGCTACTACCACAGAGGCAACTTAGTTTGTAGACGCCAGGGTACTGTATGTCCGGAATCACATCTTTTACAAACGGAACCAGATCACGGATTTTATGTAATGTGTTGAATCGGACCTGGATATTGTGTTTATTCAAGATTTCTTTTTTGTGATCCCCACAATGTAGGGTAAAGTGATGGTTTTGAATGGCACCTCAAGAGGGTCCTTCTTCATGGTTGGAGTGGTAGCTTTGCGGATTGTGTAGTCGGAGTTACCATTAGCCTTAAGAGCTTCGTGTACGTGCTTGAGTTCACTGCCTATGTGTTCCTGGTCGGATATGCATTGGGCTCTACGGTGCAGAGTCTTGATGAGGGAATTATTCTGGTGATGATTGCTTGTGTTGCAGTCGAAACGTCGTGATAACTTCATTGTTTTATATTTTTATGATTTTATTGTTTCCCTTCTACGTGACTTTACCGAAAGAACCAAGAATATAATCTTAACCTGCTTAGTTGCAGTGAAAGATCAACTCTCACTTCACAGTATCATATTTTGGATCTGCCTGTTTTTGGGTCATTCTCTTCACCTGTTCTCTTGCTCAATTAAAGCACGATTCTACGATTGTATGCGAAAGATACTGTTAAAAATGTAGTGACGATGATTATTACGTTGACAAATCGCAAACATTATAGCATTGCTGTTCGTCGAAGCCTCCAGTCCAACCTTCGTTCAGTGAGAGGTTACTTATTTTTCTATGCTACCTCCATAGTCCGGAACTCCTATCCCTCAGCTGCTCATGCGGTTGAATCCCCACCTCTGCTCAGGTCCGGGATACAAAGACCAGCTACCATGATTGATCTGCATAGGGGACCGTTCATAAATGACGTCACGCGATTTTGGACAATTTTTGACCCCCCTCCCCCCACCTCGTCACACGGCGTCACAAAAAGTCAGACCCCCCTTCAAATGTGACATCACAAAGCTCTGCTCCCCCCCCCTCAAAACCATATTTCAATTTGGAAAATAAAACATGCTTCAAATCCCTTTAAACTATTGTCATTGCAGTGCATATTTAATGTGGCGCTGCACTCTGATGTCGTAGGAGAAAACATTTATTAAGAAGTCTATTTAATTAAGTAGAACGTGGTGCCTATATTTATTTACAGTTGCGCATTTTGATGTGACGTCACGTTTCTCAACCCCCCCTCCCCCCCTCGTCACACATCGTCACAAATGTCTGACCCCCCCCCCAAGTGCGTGACGTCATTTATGGACGGCCCCTATGATTGATTGACTCTCAACAAAATATTATGCCCAATGTGTCCAGCAGCTGTACGAACTTACAGGGGACGGAGAGCATTGGGGGAGGCGGCGATAACGGCTACGGCCGTGACGACGTCTGTAAAAAAAGAGCTTTATAGCTCATCAGATTCCTCCAGTGTTAAGAAATATTCAGACTTTGATTGATCTTGTTGCTGTTAAAGCATGCAACAATGTATGTACAGTACGTTGAACTTCTTTCGCACCCTAGCCAATCGTGCTAATCAGAGGTGCGGGCGGGCGGGGAAGGACGATCTAAACACAAAAAGCAGCCCTAAAGGAATTAGTTTTCAATCTAAGATACAAAAATAATAATCAAGTGCTTCGTATGCTCATCTCGGTGGCTCGACGATTCGCAGGGCCTACCTCAGCGTTCAAGACCTCAAGGAGACCCTGAGGCTGGACGGAGCGACCCACCTCAACGTCTACTTCCCCACGTCACTGGGCGACGTGCTGGCGGGGGTTGCCATGTGGCCCTGGGAGAAGGACGCCCTCACGCACCTGGGTGAGCAGTGAGCAAGTGAGCGGTGGGGTGCGTGCGGTGGCTGGCTGCGAGGGGTGGGAGGTGCAGATTTCACTCTACAGAAGGTGTAGGAATGAAAAGGCAGTCGGGGGAATCCGACATCCCTACTGGTATGCGGTAGGGATGTCGCATCAATCTGGGAAAAATATGAAAATTGGGCCTAGATAAGAGATTCCAGATGGTCCATTTATCTACTTAATGTGTCGCCACCGTGACACCCCCACGGTGTTAACTACCTCGCCTGGTATACAAGAGGTTGTGGATTCGACACCAACTCTGACGCCTGATGTATATTTGGAGTTCGCATTTGCTCCCCGTGGTTGCGTGGATTTTTATCCGGGTCTTCGAGTTTTTCCCAACACTTATAGAAACATGCATTTTGGAGTACATCCATTTCCGCGTGATAAGCCACTCCGTTGAACTATCATTTGTGGCCGGGTCCCTTCTGAGAAAGAGCTGTATAGCTCAGTGGGCGTTACTCGGTAAAATTAAAATAGTTAAGTTTAGTTCATACTGACCCTTAACCCTGACCCATATAATTATTTAGGGGTTCGGGGGGGACAGTCGACAAGATTCACGCTTTCCGTTTAAAAACCCAACGGGCCAGCTCATCACCAACGAGCACCTCCCTCTCTCCCTCCCTCCCACGGCAGGCGGCATGGCGCTCAACCCGACGTACTACGGCAAGCCGGGCCACACGCACACCATGATCCACGAGATCGGCCACGCGCTCGGCCTGTACCACGTCTTCCGCGGCGTGTCGGAGGTGGAGCACTGCGGGGACCCGTGCCTCGAGGTGGAGCCGTCGTTCGAGACCGGCGACCTCTGCGAGGACACGGCGCCCGTGCCGCGCCACAAGGGCTGCGGGGACGCCGAGGTCGACAGCAAGGACATGTGTGGAGCGAGGCGCTTCTACGACGCCCCATTCCACAACTACATGAGCTACGCCGGTGCGTGCCCGACGGCGTGCTCGGCGCAGCTGGGCCGGCGGTGGCCGTGCGCGGCTGTGATCGCAGCTACGGTGGTTGTCGCAACGAATGCCGTTGCGACCGGGGGGTGCCCCTACCCTGGCTTGCCATGGCGAAGACGGGAACACCAAAATCATGGACCTCACCCGTTCCACCTTTGCGGGAGAGAGCGTTGCCCGCTCGCACGTGTGAGGCTTTCGCCGGGTGCTCCGGCTTCCTCCCACACGTATAAACACCCATCGATTGGCCCGGTATAAACTCAATACAGAGAGGATCGCAGAGCTTGAGGAGAAACTTGGCACTGGCTCATTGCGTGGCCGCATCTCCTGCTTGTCTGTGGTTCCTCATGTCTCCGAGTCATTCTCGATCATTCGAGACTGAGCGTATACTGCATGGCGAATGGAATGGGGTCTGAGAGCACGTCTCCCAAAGAGGTGGAGCGGTTAAATTAGACAATCAGCCAGTGTGCGGGCGCTGGGTGGATTTTGACATTGCAGGATCGTGAGATGGCGGCGGCTTATAGACCCTGCATCCAGCAGTGGATTGCCCATGGCTGCTGCTGCTGATGATGATTTTTTCATGGTATTACTTTCACTTCTCTTCAGGAAGAGTGTTTTTTTCTTCCCCCAATGAGGATTCCTTCTTGGCTCAAAACAGGCACTTCTAATGCTGGCAAATATAAAGGGTAAAATAGTATACATTTTTGTTATAATTAGACGTAAAAAATTATTTTGGAATCTGGGTTACGTTTGTACGTATATATTATCGTTCACGTTTTTGTGAAGTTACATCAGAATAGGGTAGCTTTACATTATCATGCAAAGGTGACAGTTTTGGAAAATTTCTGTTGGGTGGTGGCGGTTTGTGCCTCTGGATTTAGGAGGTGGCAAATTGAATCTTGAACTTTCTAGATGCACATAAATCGTAATGTGGTTGCAATTGTAATTGTAGTGATACACGGGAGTTGGGATCTCACGCCAGCTCTGGCAGCTGCATGGATTCCTGTCTGATGGGGTAAGCGCTGACAGAGGTCCAACGGCCAATGCATTCCAAAAATTCCACCGTAAATAAACAAAGGAATCACGACCTTTAATTTAATGCTATTTTTCAAGGGAGACCCTAGCCCATCACCATCTAACGGGGTTCGACATCAGTGCATACGAATGAAATACAGGATCAAATTATTATCAACATTGTCAGCCATGATCAATCCACTGCTGGATGAAGGACCTCCAATGCAGACAAAAATTAGGGGCCGTCATGAATGACGTCACGCACATGGGGGGGGGGGGGATCAGACATTTGTGACGATGTGTGACTGGGGGGGGGGGGGGTTTGAGACATGTGACGTCACATCAAAATGTGCTACTTTAAATAAATATAGACAACACGTTCTACTTAATTAAATATACTTTTTAATAAATGTTTTCTCCTATCTCCTACAACATCAGAGTGCAGCGCCACGTTAAATACGCACTACAATGGCAATAGTTTAAAGCGATTTGAAGCATGTTTTTTATTTGGGGGGGGGGGGGGGCAGAGATTTGTGACGTCATATTTGAGTAGGGGTCTGACTTTTCGTGACGCCGTGTGACGAAGGGGGGGGGGGGTAAAAAATCGTCAAAAAATCGCGTGACGTCATTTATGGACGGCCCCTTACGAGAAATTAACGTGATGACAATTCGGAGATTTAAAATACTTGGCCCAGTGATTCAACTCCCACACCGGGTCCATTTGGATCACAAGTCCAGTGCGCGAACCATTGCACCGTGGTGGCAATGCTTGTATTCTGCGATATTTATTCTCCGATACATTAACGTGACGCCCCGCCTGTTATGTTGGTGACACCTCATGACCTCGTCGTGGTTCTTCAGAGACGAATGGTTTTTAATGCCTGATATGCTTTAAGATTGAATAGGCAACCTCTGGACCGCAACTCCAGCGAACTAACCACCTCGTTCAACAAAGATCCCCCCGTATAGTCTTAACAGAACGTTGGGGCAAGTGCTGTTAGCTATGACGGCCAGAACCGCACACGAGGGTGTGGATGGCCAGCACCACGCCCAGCCGCCTTTGTCTCCCCGCACCAAGTACTCATTTGAGTCCGAGGCCCAGGTATCGGTTCAGATAATCGTCACTGGTGTTGGTGGTCGCGAGCGGGAATCGAACTCGGGTCGCCAAGCCCGTAGGACGGCGCTAACCGCCGCGCTACGCACCACCGCCTCTAAAATCCTTCCCCAACTCCCCCCTGCGCCGGCAGACGACGACTGCACCAGCTCATTCACGCCGAACCAGGTGGCGCGCATGCACTGCTACCTGGACATGGTGTACGAGACTTGGAGGGAGGAGGCCGGTCCCACGCCCGTGCCGCTGGCGCCGCGGGTTCACCAACAGGGCATCGACTTCCTCAGCCTGCGATGGATGCCCCCCATCAGTGGACAGGTTTTTGAAAGGCAAGCAACGGGGGGGGGGGGGTGGGGCTGGGGGGGGGGGTAAATTTCACATTTAATACATCTACTCAGAACCTGGATGTGAACTTACTTCCTCGCTCCATCTCCTCGTCGTCGTCGGAGGAGGAGGAGGAGGAGGACGTCTTCCTCTCGGGACGCATTCCATTCCTTCGCCGCCCGTGTCCACATCAACGCATCTTTTTGTCCCTTGTTGTTCAAGCGAAACGCTCGCACTCGATTACAGGTTCACAGAACCTCTCAACCCGTGACACCGTCCGCCGCCTCCAACACAAATCCCGCTCCCACCCGCATACCCCCGCGGTCGGCACCCGCCGCACAGCTCGGCGGGATCCGGCTTTTCCCGGCCCTGTGCCGAGCCCCCTTGCCGTGTGTGCCCCAGGGAGCCAGGTGTTCCGTGCGAGGAGTGCGGGGAGGACGGCGAGCTGGTGCAGTACGCGTGCAACGCCTCGTCGCCGCGACCCTGCGACCCCTCGGGGCACTGGAGCCCACGGCAGGCTGAAGGTGGACACACCGCGCACTCTCGCGAGCATCACCCCCCCCCCCCCCCCCCCGCCTCGCCCCGGCGACACACGCGGCGTCGGCGTGGGCCCAATGTTCCACGTTTAGTTGGCCGGTGCAGAGGTTAGCGGTTTCGAACCCTGCGCCCGCCCCGGTTAATACTGCGGTTGTATTAGCGAACAAAAGATATACGCGCAGTCTGCTTCGACTCCCTGTAGCCACCCTCCGCGCCTCCTCCCCCTTCCCCCCCACCCCCCGATATTTTCTGACCGATGACCATTAATTTGTATGGAGCGATAAAGTGATTGGCAATTGGAAGGTTCCTCTTCTTTGGTTCTTTCGGTAAAGTCACGTAGAATGAGAATAAAATAATAAATTGATAAAATAAAATAACACAATAATATTCATGCTCTGACTTCAACGTAACTATTTCTGTAGCAGTTACAAGCGAGTCACTCAGCCATTTCAATGCTAAATTCTATGCTAATCCCATTGTCAAGGGGTGCCTCTGCGGATGTGTATGCCTTAACTTAGCTATTTCAATGCTAAATTCTATGCTAATTCCTTTTAACAATGGGTGCCTCTGCGGATGTGTATGCTTTAACTTTTAACATAGCTATTTCTGTGACCAGTCACAAGCTAATCATTCAGCCATTTCAATGCTAAATTTTATGCGAATCCCTTTGTCAAGGCTCTTTGTTCCTCTCACACAGCTTAAAAGCCGTGATCTGAACGTGGCTCTCTCACTCCAGCGCTGTCCTACCAGACAGTCTCGCCCCCTTCACCTGATGAAGGCCGCTTGTGTTGTGGCCGAAACGTCGTGAGAATATTATTGTGTTATTTTATTTTATCAATTTATTATTTTATTCTCATTCTACGTGACTTTACCGAAAGAACCAAAGAAGATGAATCATTGCAGTCACGAAAGCTTTAAATCGAAATTAGAAGGTTGTTGAGGTCAATTACTGGTTGGGGGTTTATTTAGCCCATCATCCCCCCACGGGGTCGATAAAATAGGTACAACTTTACGAGGAGATCAACGGTGGTTGCCCTATGGATAGACTCGCCCTCGCCATATGAACGTGAATTGTCCGCCACACGCTCAGAAAATGAGCACCACCATCAGTGCTCATTTGAGCAGGGCATCACTTAGACTCTTAAACATTTAAATTGTATTCATTTGATGAAGGATAATTTGAGGAACAAACGTGCAGTGGCGGAGTGCAAAGGGGCGACGAGCAAACTCAGTCTGCTGCCATCGAATGGTGAGCTTTAGGCGGGGTGGGGAGGGATGGGGGGGATGTGTGAACTCCGCAGGGCAAAAGGTCGGAGGTCACGGCCCTTTGTCTCAACGGCAGATGACAACGTCGTTCATTTCTCATGGTGCTTGGCGCGAGCCGCCGGCTCATTTGTAAACAAAGTATCCGCGCGCCGCGCGGAGTAAGTTGTTCCGCTTTAATGGAATGAGGCATTTAAAAAAAAAATCGTGGGTCGGAGAGCGGTGAATGATCTTTTTTTATTGGAGAGGATCGCTCAATAAGGCGGAAAGTGGTGCGCACATATAAATTATTTGCACGATATGAAACGAAATGAATCCGTTACGTTTATGGAGGGGACATATAAGTCTCAAGCGTTGAAAGCTACGCGGATAAAACTGCCGACGTTCATTTACGCCCAGTTGCATTTGAAAGTTGGAAAGGAAACACAAAAATCCACACGGCATGGGAGGAGGCCTTCATCCAGCAATAACTCCACAGAGGGCTGAAACATATTCTTATTATTGTTAACCGTAACAAGGTAATGTTTCGTCAATAAGCCTATGTGTAAATTACACGATCCGCTTACGTATTTATACGTATGTAAGATTAATTAAAACGACGTTTGCAGGCGTGTGGAATTCAATATATGTGTTTAAGCAGAGTCATCATAAACAGTCATGTTTTCTCCACTGCTGGATGAAGGCCTCCCCACGCCGTCGCCACCGCTCACGGTCCTGCGACGCCACAATCCATCTTGCGCCTGCGCATGAGCTGGTCTCATCGCTCCATCTCCGTGGTGGTCGTATTCTCTCTTTTGTCTGCCATTATGTCACTTGCCTTGTCCGTCCGTTATCCCCCCTTCCCCCCCCCCCCCCCCCCCGGCACAGCGTCCTGCCCTCGGCTCACTTACTCTTCATTTGACGTCTCTAATTTGCGTTTTTGTTCCATCTGCTCCTCCGTTTGTCAAATTACCAGCGTGCCTCTCTCTCTCTCTCTGTGCCTCTTTTTGTACTTTTCAACCTTTGTTCCATTTTCTTTATCAGCATTCGTGTTTCTTATCCGTAGTCTTTGCATGCAACGTCTCGATTCAAATTGACGGCGGCCATTTCGGCAAGTTGACGGTATTAGTTGTGTTTAGGACAACGTGGAAACAGACAAACAGACGGAACCACCATGAGGAGGCTGCCATCTCCCATGAATGTTGAATTAAAGACAGGACACTGTTGTGCAATTGTGGCCATGCAACCAAACTATGGACCCAAATAGTAAGCCAATAGAGGAGAAACAGCAAAAACTACACAAACTCTCTCCTGAAGCCCTCTCGTCATGGCGAGCATCACTCGATATTGACATTAAGCTACTGATCATATTACCATCATACACATGAGTATAATCGCGTGCGATATGCAGTGTAACACTTCGGGTTTCGCGACCAATATTATCCATGAAATAGTTTTTTGTGGTTAGATCACGTAAATATAAATGTCGTTTAACCCGCCACCACTCGACACCGCCAATTAGTAAGGTTTGTCACGTGAACAAAACATGCCAATTCGTTACTTGTACAGCACACCGGTGTGCTGGAGAGTAAACCCACAATGTTGTGGCGGGTTAAACGACACATTTATATTTACGCGATCGAACCCATGAAACCTCGTTTCTCATTTTTATTATTAAGTACATTTCTCCAAAAGCACCGCTCTTGCTTGCTTCCGTATTTCATGAACTCGACAGCGCACATTAAGCAAAGGATACAACTCAACAAGTAGGGCAACGTTGTCCTGGCTCTGTGCAAGAGTTACGTCCACGGGGAAGCAACTGGATTTAATGGATTGCTGCCACCTTAAAGAATAAATAACACTGTAATGGCCAGCGTATTGAGAGCGGGGTGCGAGGCAGAGTTCATTTGAAACAACAGCAAAAAACACTATCGACGTGAAAAGTGATAAAAATGCCAAACAAAACATAGGCTAGCCAGAACTGTGTTAAACCAGTATGCAACGAATATGTCTGAGTCTATAGTGTTTACGGTTGGTATATCTGAATCTCAATGGCGCTTTGAATTTACTCGGGGGTTGTTATTAAATTCAATGACGTGTAAATATTACTTTTAACCTGCGGTGTGGTCAGATGGCATCATTGTTATCATTGTGCATGATAAGCTAATTGGCTGAAGATGTCGATAACAACACAACGCAACTGATAGGATTCACGGTCACGTTGCATTGTTGGGTCCTCTGAGCCACGATTACGATGATAAATGATTGATGAAGAGAACAACTCGTAGGGATTTCCTGCTCACACGAGCATTGAGGCGATGCTCATCTCCTATTCACAGCCCCTGAGCCGGTGTGGAAATTACACGTTTCTATGGCGAGGGCGGGTCTATCCACGGGACAACCACTATTAGATTCCACACTCCTTTCGTCGACGGCACTTATTTCATCGACCCGATAGGAATGATGGGTTCGAGTCAATCCCCTGCCAGGATTTGAACTCGCGAACATTCCTGTTACCAGCCGCTCCCCTCTACCGCTGAGCCACGCATTCTTCACCACAGCCGCATGCCCACGGCCACGAACATCGCTCTGTGCGTCCCGCGAGCAGGCCCGCCCGACGTGGAGACGCCCTGCGACGCGAGCCTGCGCACCTGGAGCCCTGAGCTGAGCGTTCCGGGGGGCACCTTGTCCGTGCCGTGCCCCTTGCCGCCCAGCGGCTGCGCCCTCAAGCTCTCCTTCTGCCGCCCGACCCCCGCCGCCTCCGTCACCCTCTGGGTCACCTACGTGAGCGCGCGCAGCGGCCACACCATCCACGACCTCGTGCTGCTGCTCGCCAACGGCACCGCCGTCTCGCTAGGGCCGCACAAGGTGTCCTGCGACGTTCCGCTCACGGTCCGCGTGCCGCCGATGGCCGTTGGCGGTGCCGAGGAGCCCGCGATCGCCGGGCTGAGGCTGCACACGTTCGACGAGAAGCTGGAGGTGGACGCGGCGGCGCTGAGCTCGGGGCCCGGGAGCGAGCTGTGCCGCCGGTGCCGCCCGCTGCGGTACGAGGTGGCGCGCGAGCCGCCGTTCAGGGGGCGGTGGCCGTCGATGGTCTCGGAACTGCGCCGCGAGTTTGTGGACAGGTGAGTGGAGGCCAATGCTCTAAATGCGGGGGGGGGGGGGGGCATGAATGAATGAATGGACGGACGGACGGACGGATGAGTCGATGAATGAATATATGTACAAATCATACGATGATTTGTTATTTAATTTTAGGTTAGGCCATGTCGTGATCTGACCATATATGTGTCGTTAAGGCTGCATGTGAGTCTATGCGTCTCCATGTGAGTCTATTAGTCTCCATGTGAGTCAATGAATCTCCATGTGAGTCTCCATGTGACTCCATGAGTTTCCATGTTAGCCTATGAGTCTCCATGTGAGTCTATGAGTCTCCATGTGAGTTTACATGTGAGTCCATGAGTTTACATGTGAGTCTATGAGTCTCCATGTGAGTCTATGAGTCTCCATGTGAGTTTCCATGTGAGTCCATGAGTCTACATGTGAGTCTATTAGTCTCCATGTGAGTCAATGAATCTCCATGTGAGTCTCCATGTGACTCCATGAGTTTCCATGTTAGCCTATGAGTCTCCATGTGAGTCTATGAGTCTCCATGTGAGTTTCCATGTGAGTCCATGAGTCTACATGTGAGTCTATGAGTCTCCATGTGAGCCTATTAGTCTTCATGTGAGTCTATGAGTATCCATGTGAGTTTCCATGTGTGTCTATGAGTCTCCGTGTGAGTCTATTAGTCTTCATGCGAGTCTATGGGTCTCCATGTGAGTGGGATTCTATGCGAATTTGTGCAATGCAATGTGGTTTTAGAAATACTGATAGGCGGTTGAATCAGCCAATTATATTATCCATCCGGGATTGATAAGTTAAGTTGTATTAAACGGATAGACATGCCCCTACCATGATAATGTGAAATTTACACCGCTGGTTCAGGGCTGAAAACGGAAGATGAGCATCAACTCACCACACATCCGAGCAGCAAATCATTTTCGCGTCTGACTTTGTTTTGTGAGTGACGTCACTAAGAGCTTTTTAACTATATATAATCATCATTATCGTCATCATCATAATAGTCTTCATCATCATCATCAATGTCCACTGAAGCTTCTAAGGGTGCGTCACAAATATTGAACGATTGCTCCGACAATAAACTGAAATCTAAATCGCAGCAGATTAAACATTTAAAGACCACAGGAACAAACTATGCCAAAACACGTCCTCGAATCCAAAAATCCCATATTACTCACGCAAAACAACTTCCAATTACAAAACAAATAACTGTTACGACGAGGCCCTCGCCAATAAAACATAGCCTCGGGAGCACAATCCAAAGTATATTAGTAATACAAAAAAAAAACAACGTGCGTCTTGAGAACCACATTGCGCCAGAGAAGAACGTGCCACAGGCACAAACGAGCTTAACAGACACGTCCGCGTAACAGGCACGTGGCAATACAACAACAAAAAGCGCGGGAACAAAATGACGTCACAATTACGAGCATCATCTGCCGTGGTGTAACGGTGAGCACGCTGGACTAGCGATCCATGGGACACCGCTTCGATTCAATGCCCCTTGGTGAGGCGGTTTTTATCAATGGCACAAATTTGGATTTAAAGCTTTCGTGACTGCAAGGATTCATCTTCTTTGGTTCTTTCGGTAAAGTCACGTAGAATGAGAATAAAATAATAAATTGATAAAATAAAATAACACAATAATATTCTCACGACGTTTCGGCCACAACACAAGCGGCCTTCATCAGGTGAAGGGACGAGACTGTCTGGTAGGACAGCGCTGTCCTGTCTGAGACTGTCTGGTAGGACAGCGCTGTCCTACCAGACAGTCTCGTCCCTTCACCTGATGAAGGCCGCTTGTGTTGTGGCCGAAACGTCGTGAGAATATTATTGTGTTATTTTATTTTATCAATTTATTATTTTATTCTCATTCTACGTGACTTTACCGAAAGAACCAAATAAAATGGCACAAATGTTTCTTAAATATCTCCGCCTCTGTCCATTCGGCTACGTAAATGGGTTGCAGCCGCAGTCAGTCGATGAACAGGTCACGTGTGTTGTGCGATCAACTGTGGGCACTGCCACACACTTCTCAGACGTCTGACCAGCATGGAATGGTAGTGGGCAAACAATATATATATGTACCCTGTGGTAGAGGGCGTATCTAGAGCTCCCTAAAGTGGAGGCCCCTTCCTCCGGCAGCGGTGTGAGCTGAGCAGTCGAAGCGGCTGCACCTCAACCGTTTGTAGGGCATTTCACATTGAACAATGAGCCCTTACTGGAAACCATCGAAGCCACTTTACAAGGACGGTGTTGCGAGTTTCAATGGAGCCCCGGCCACTCAGCGAAGTGACTCAAGAGCAAGGTCCCACAGCCACTCTGATTACCCATTAGGGGCCATCCATTGAGTACGTAAGCAAAAATCTGTCAAAACTTGACCCCTTCCCCCCTCCCTGTACGCACGCGGACTTTTTACACCCCCCCACCCCCAACTGCTTTCGTACGCCTGATGTACCCCCCTCCCCCCCCCCCCCGAATCCTATAGAACGGCCGATATTTAATCCACGCAGAAACGATCAAGGATTAATAATATTAACGTGTTTAAGCAAACAGACAGTCCACCGCCGGCTGCATTAAATAATTAAGTTACGTACCTTGGCCACTTATTTTGCTGAACTGCGTGATAACAGTCAGGGGTACGGTGGCATACAAGTGACACCTCTCCCACAGTCCCACTTCTCCCGGTTGTACTTGTTGTCTGACAGCTGGAGAAACTGAACTGTGGCTCATTTGAAGGCCAATGTAGACAAATTATCGAGGCTTCACCGCCCCCCCCCCCCCCCGTTTCCTATGCGGACATTGTCAGTAGACCCCCCATACGCATGCGTACGCATTTGGGTTAACCCCCCCTCCCCCCTCCATGCGCACGTACTTAATGGATGGCCCCTTACACTCGGCCCGCTTTTGACGTAGGGAGGAGGCATGGCTTTGACCCAGGGCAAGCTCTCGAAAGACACCTACATCAGCAGCAGAAGGAGCAGCAGCATTAGCTTCAAGGTTTTCCCTGTTGTTGACCGTAGCCGTTAAAAAAAAACACACACACACCAAATAACCCTGAATGTGCTCAGTTTTTTTTTTAATTACAGTTCCTGAACACAGGCCCAATGACGCAAAAATCGCCATGGCCCAGGCAACAAACAGCTCTGCTGTATTGGATGAAGGTGTAATGCATATGACTTGATACGTTTCTTGAACGTAAGGTTATTTATCAAGAGAATTCCCAAGGGGAGCGTTTGAGCTGAGTAAGTGAGGGGATGAGTGGGTGAGTGCGCTGGTGTGACCGGCAGCGTGGTCGTTGAACACAGTATGGCCGAGATGAAACAGTCAGCGTCCGGTAGACTAATTCCTCAACATTTGTGGAAGAATCAATGAGTGAGGTTCACGGGAACAATACGTATGTAAGTTGAACTTCTTTCGCAGAGCACGTAGCCAACCGTGCTATTCAGGAGGTGCAGGGGAAAGGACAACAAACTAAACACAACAAAAACAGTTCTATATAAATGAGTGTTCAATCTAGATCATTTAAAAGTGCATAGCTCCAGTGGATTCCTGATATCGGAAGGAAGAGCGTTCCAGACAGCCGAGGAAGCGCATCTGAAAGTGCGCGATGCGGTGACGTCTCTGTTCGACGGTTAGCCCAAAAGCCGTGGCGGTTTCCGCTCCTTGACGAGATCGGCGAGGGGTTGTGGTTCATTTGTGGCGAGCCTCGTTGTGTGTAACGAGTGCGACCTCATAACGCATTTCGTTCGGCAATCGGAAATAAGCGTGGTCGTAGCGATAGAAGAGTGGCCATGCAACAGTCTCGAGAGGTTCGTTTTCTTCGGAGGTTGGGGGCGGTGTGGCAGGCAGGAGTGGTTTCTGCAGTAAAGTTGCAGAAAGAAACCCGTATTATGTTCCTGGCTTTCAGCCCAGAATGGCTGTAACGCCAGGCACCTCCCACAACCTCGCATTGCCACCTGCCCCGGTTTGTTCAAGGATTGCCTCTCTTGAAACGAACTGTCCTGCAATATGCGTAGGTTTTCTGCCGACACGTCAAAGTTCCCGGCTTTCATCTTCCCGACCATACGTCCGAGTACGCTGAACATCTTTCGCACCGTACGTAGCCGACCATGCTAATCGGAGGCGCGGGGGAAGGACAACACACTAAACTAAACACAAAAATCGATTTTAAAGAAATGAGGTGGCAATTCTACCTCGGTGTCAGCAATTGGATGATACCAGGGGCAGCAGAGGGAGGTTCCAGGCCCCTAAGGACAGCAGAGGAGTAGGAATGACCTCCTGCACTTCAGAGGTTGGATCGCTGGAGCAGAGTGTGTGAGTAGGGTCACCGAGAGAGTGAGAGATGAGAGAAGAGAGGGAGGCATAAGCGAGATAATTTAGGATCCCCCCCCCAAAAAAATATAAAAGTCAAAGTGATTAACTACTCAAAGCAGCATTGCGGATGTGCTCATATCCCGTTTACAGTTCTGAGCCAGTGGTGGAAATTCCACATTCCTATGGTGGAGGAAGACTTGTTCCATTGAGCAACCACTGTTCACTTCCCCACAAGGTGATACTGAAAACCCACAACGACAATCGTGTAAATTGATCGTGGATATATTTGGGGAGTCAATGGCTGGCAATGATGATTTGAAAACGAACAGGGTTTTGACCATTTAAAAAATAAAAGAACGTGACTTACAGTACAATAATTACCCCTTGCACCCTGAGTGTATGTCAGAAATCAGAAGCTTTATTTATACTGCACGTATGTTTAACTTATCTCGAACTGTACGTAGCCAGCCGTGCTAATCTAAGAGGTGTCACCGTGAATTTTGCGCTAGGGACGTGGAGGAGGGAGCTGTCTACTCCTACCAGGTTCGCGTTGTCTCTGGTTCGGGCTTCTCCGAGTTTTCACCTCCGCTCGTTCATCGGCACGGCGCGGCCTTCTGCGGTGACGGCACGGTGGACAGGTGAGCTTCGTCACCTCGGTTTTGGTATTCTAATTTGGTATTCTAATCTACGCCGTCTATCATCATCCGATCATCGGGAGACAATCACCGACGTCGCGGACTCTGGCGACTGCGGGGTTCCAGGGCATGAGCCAACGCGTCTTGTGGGGGTGATTTTCACGGGAACGCCGGGCAACGCACCCTCCCTACTCAGGTCCGATGGAGAGGAATGCGACGATGGCGGGGTCCGTGATGGCGACGGCTGCTCCGCGTTCTGCCGCCTGGAGAAGGACTTCAACTGCGTGGGTACGTGACCGCGGGGGTGCTGCTCTTGTGCTTTCTCGGCGGCAGCGGTTGGATAACCGCAGGCCCACGGCCTGGAAAGTGCGCCGAGGGTTTCATATGGCCCGTGGAAGCCGCTGGAGCGATGCATTTTTAAGTCTCGATTGAATACTAAATTTGGTTAGAAATGCTTTCTGTGCGTCTAGTTTGTTGTCCTTCCCGCGCACCTCCGTTGAGCGCGAATCGCTATGTACGGCGCGAAAGAAGTTCAACATGCACATGCATGGCCATCAGTGCCGCGAAATGGGTGGAGCAGGCGATTGCTGCATGTGTGGCCGAACAGTTGTGTTAACAAAGCAAGCAATGTCGGCTGGTGACTCACATTGCCCAAGGGTGCAAACAATATCTACTTGCCTACGTTCTTCGTGGCCACGCGAGGCCTATGATTTAAATTCAACACGGCCCACAGGTGATATGTATCTCTCACTGCAAGCATCTAAGCCACGCCAATCGGGCGCTAGAGGGAGGGAATGCATATTTTGGACTTGCCCTCGCATTAGATTACATTGCGTGGGTTCGACCATTGCATCAGCTTACCAGGTGCTCCGCTCACGATGGCCTTGACGCTCGCATAGTGGAGCAGATAAGTGAATTCTTTTTTTTTTTAACAGGAATAATTTAAATTGTGATACAAGCATGAAACTTGCTCGAGGTATTCGCAACGGTGTTATTTTTCCAGAACAAAAAGAAAACACAGCCACCTGAGAACCAAAGCTTTTGATTTTGCATCCAATTGTTTACATATTTCTTCGGCGGCTAACATTTCTGTTGGTGCTGGCCACCCACCGCCTCGTGTGCCGTGTTGGTCTTCAAAGGTGCTCACTAACAGCACGCGGATCGCTGTCTTTGTTCGTGGGGATGGGCGGTGGGTGGGTATGTGCATGGTACACGTATTTGGGGAGCGGTGGTGTAGCAGTTAGCGCGCTGCGCTATGAACCTGGTAACCCGGGTTCGATTCCCGCTCACGGTCAATACCGGTGATCTAAGGGAAGCCCCGGTCCTGGGCCTCCCTTAGGTCGACTCAGCCTCAAATGAATACCTGGTTCCGGTGTGTAAACATCGCCACTGGGGAGACAAAGGCGGTCGGGCGTGGTGCTGGTCACCCACCCCCTCTTGTACCGTTCCGGCCTTCATAGGTGCTCGCTAACAGCACTTGCCCCAACAGTCTGTTAAGGCTATTCGTTTTTTTGGTACACGTATTGCGTAGGTGTGCATTTGCGTGCGACCATGCATCTGTGCGCGCGCGCGCGTTTGTGCACGCGTTTGCACGTGCGCGATTATGCACGTGCGCGCGTACATTGGCACGTGAGTGTATGCATCTTCGTGTGCATATCCGTGCACGCATGTGAGTGCGTGCACGGGTATGCACCTGGCCTGGCACAGGCGACCGTGATGATGTCACCGTCACTTAGTTGCGAATGGCGGGTATTGGTATAGACACGCACACACACGCACGGACATGCGTGTACGTGTGTGTACGTGCGTGTGTGTGTGTGTGCATGTGCCCGCGCGCGTGTGTACGTGCGCGAAAACCGTGCACTCCCCAGAAATGCAATCAGAGAGAGTGGCTGGGGAAAAATGTGAATGTGGTCCTTGATCAGAATTGAGTTGGAAAAACGGAAAAGAGACTAATAAATAATGGGGGAGGGGGGGGGCATGGGGGAGAATAATGCTTCGACTGTGTGTGCAAGCTGCGATCACAATGGGGGGGGGGGGGGGCACACTCAATCTACATAGAATACGTCATTGCCCGAGCCTTCCTTCTCTATACGAATGAACGCTGTGCGCACACGAGGTCACCTCCTTCCAAACCTGGACGAGTCGATGTCTCAATATCAACGACCAAGGTGAGGGAGGGGGGGGGGGGGAATGAGTATTGCCCATTGAGCACCACGGCCACGGACGTCGTTCGTTCCGTGCGTGCATTCTCACCCGGGAGATGCCCCAGGATGGTTACGCACCGATTTGGCAAATTGCCCCAAAGTCGCAGCCGATATTATCGAATCTCACAGTCTAAAGCGGGGTTGCAACGCGGTTCGGTGCTTAGACTCGTGAGCACCAGGGATTTGCTCGGTGTTGTAGCTGTGTGTGTGCCTGCGAGGTGACCAGGAGATGGGAATGTAGAGTGTTTACCCCCCCCCACCCCCCTCCGAGTGTCTGACTTTTCTCCAGGCACTTCTGGTTTCCGTCCTAACGACAAACACTCAATTCATGACATTGGCCAAACATCGCAATGCAGGATCCTCCTGAAATAAAGAGTCTTCAGGCTGAGCGAGGCTTTCATGGCTAACACTTCGAAATTATTTGACACAGCTGGCATACACGGCGAAGTTGAAGATGCGGTTGGGTGGTTTAGAGATGGCAGCATTGAGTCGGCACTGCCGAGATCCTGGGTTTGCATCTGGATTTAAGCCGCCGATGATTAAGCCGAGTTCTTAAGTGTAGCAAGTCGATGGCATTAACAACCATCAAATATGTATCTACGTCAAAAAAAACCCCCGCTCATGTTGAAGACATTTTTTTTACTTAATATGGCTAAATTCCAGCTCCACGTAAAAACAATTACATCAGATTGACTTCCACACTGAGGAGTGGAAACTGTCTGTGTGTAGTCAGGGCATTTGTGGGGCAAGTTTGCCACGTGATGCGTCGATTAAAGAAGTGATCTCAGAAACAGTTTCTCCAGGGCCCTTCCACTTTCGCCCCTCCACGTTAAGAATCAACGTCACGCGTTTAGATAATTTCGCTGCTATAAATGTCCACGTGATACGCCACTTCGTTGAGCTGTCACTTGTGGCCAGGTCGCTTATGGACAAAAAAAAAAGAGCTATATAAAGCTCGGTGGGTCTTACCTGGTAAAATAAAAAAAAATAGTTTAGTTAGTTCTGTGATTTCATGCCACAGCAGGCCATTCTATAACAGATGAAGCATTATGCCCGATAAGAGCTGCAAACCGATGCTTTTATCTCGCGACGTAACGCCGATGAGCACAATAGTGGAACAAAAATTTACAAAATACCTAAAGTTATTATGAAAAACAAACCAAAAAAACAATTACAGTCGAGTCAAATTACAATATGTTCCAATTGCCGTATGCGCGCGCTCCCTGGAGTGCTTTAGCTTGTATTTTCTGCGTTATCGACACCTCAACAGCGTCCTATGATCGTCGACCTGCTGCAACCTAGCGACGCAAATGCGTCCATCGAGTTGGCAACAATCGAGGACGTGCTTCTGTAAAAAAAAAGGCCTTGTTAGGCCTGTCTACTGGAGAGGCAGGCAGCGTAGCATCTGCAATGAGTGCATCACTCCCATTTCTCACGACCACTGTGATCTTAATACGGGCTACAAGGGTGTCATCGACGTTCGGAATACATGTTAGAACCGGTTCATCGCCACTTTCTTGCGTTATTGTGTTGCAAGACTGAATGCGACAGTTTAACAAAAAAAATGGATGGTTGTCATACAAAACACGCTGACGAAGAAGCCAAGGGGAAAACACCGTCAATTAGCCCCTCCTTAATCTTGGTTCTTTCGGTAAAGTCACGTAGGTAAAGAAAATAAAAAAATAAAATTAAATTAAATCACGACGTTTCTTTTTTTGCCTGCTTCAGCAATTGTTTCTTGCTGTGGTTGTCCCCGCCTGATGACGGACGCTTGTGTTGCGCCCGAAACGTCGTTATTTAATTTATTTATTTTATTTTCTTTACCTACGTGACTTTACCGAAAGAACCAAGAGTATGAATCCTTGCAGTCACGAAAACTTCAAATCTAGAATAGCGCCTCCTTCTGTAATGGCTCAAGGACCCTTGCTGCATGCAGCTGACCGCCACGTCGTGATACCGCAACCTGTTGTGTGATGTTAAGGTCCACGGCGATCGCACGCACGATCGTGATCATCGACGCTTCTTTTAACTTTTGATTTAGAGCTTTCGTGACTGCAAGGATTCATCTTCTTTGGTTCTTTCGGTAAAGTCACGTAGAATGAGAATAAAATAATAAATTGATAAAATAAAATAACACAATAATATTCTCACGACATTTCGGCCACAACACAAGCGGCCTTCATCAGGTGAAGGGACGAGACTGTCACTCACTCCAGCGCTGTCCTACCAGACAGTCTCGTCCCTTCACCTGATGAAGGCCGCTTGTGTTGTGGCCGAAACGTCGTGAGAATATTATTGTGTTATTTTATTTTATCAATTTATTACTTTATTCTCATTCTACGTGACTTTACCGAAAGAACCAAAGAAGGCTTCTTTTAACCTTAAATAAATATTTGATTCCTTGACAAAAAAAAACTATTTACGCAAGAATCAATGAATAAAGTTCGCAATGATTGTTCAAGGTCTAAGAGGCTGTCATCCAGCAGTGGATTGACTATGGACTGTCAATTTATTATTTTATTCTCATTCTACGTGACTTTACCGAAAGAACCAAAGAAGGCTTCTTTTAACCTTAAATACATATTTGATTCCTTGACAAAAAAAACTATTTACGCAAGAATCAATGAATAAAGTTCGCAATGATTGTTCAAGGTCTAAGAGGCCGTCATATAGCAGTGGATTGACTATGGACTGTCAATTGTGTTATTCTCGGATACACTCATCCAGTCATAAAGTTCAGGGACATAGAGTGTGAGGGAATGGTAAAGCAGTGGCTAGCAACGCTGCACTTTAAATCCGGTGACCTGAGTTCGGCTCCCAGTGGTGACCAACAACAGTGGCAAGCTCTCTTTCACCAACCTCGCCGACCGCCAAGCATGGTGAAGCGTGGTAAAACAACACCCATGAGCAATGTCATCTAGCAGTGAATTTACCAAGGTTGCCAATCGTAATTATCTGTGTTTATTCCTGCCCGCACCAACACAAACTGAAGTAGCAGCTAGCTACACAGGTTCATTATAGGATCTAGTAAATCAATAAATAAATTAGCCCCCCCCCCCCCCCAAAAAAAAGAGCGATTTA